CATACTAGAGTACCGTACATCTGAGTTCAGTTTTGGGTACATGTAGGATTACAGCTGCTTTTTTGAGGTCAAAGTTGAAACTGACCTCATTTTTCCTCGTTTCAGTTTTAATTAGGGATCTGAATTTGTCATCAGGTTGTTCTACTGTCATTTTGTGCTAATCCCCCTTTCCCTCCAATTAGGTTGCAGACTTGAGAAAATATCAGTGGGATGTATTTAAATGAAGTATATCTTTTCTCCCACACAAGCATTAGAGATTTCACTTTGCATTGTAAAAACTGAAATTTCAGACTCAGCAGTGAAGTCCCTAGGGCTGAGGATCAACTAACTTAATGTTTAAGTGCATTTTCCTCATCGTAGCTTGTTGTGAAGTTACCTTGTCTCTAATAGTCATTTTGTTACCCTTAGGGTGCCTTAGGGTTCTTAGTGAAACCTATTTTTGACTCCCTGGACTTTCTTCTAGCTTGCAAAAAGTAAGTAGGCCATCTCTCACATCTCATCTTACCTGCTTCTAGACAGAAGATAGGCTAAACATAGTCCTTAAAACAATCATCATATTAATCCCCAGATTAATTTATAGCATTCCCTTTTATTTTAATCAGGTTTTTGCTATCTAGTAGACTGTAGTCAGAGAAAGTAGGCTAAATCAAGGTGTTCAAGATGAATCATTCTTGTGATTTTAGAAAGGTCAGAAAAAACTGTTCTGTTCCTGTAGTGACCAAAAAGTAAATACAGTGCTTCATAGGTAATTCAGGAGTCTTGACTTGTACAAAGGTACTTTCAGTTGCATTAATCCTGACTTACTCTTAGCAGTCCTGATAATTTTCTCTCAACCCACTTATGCACTCAGTTGTGCTGTCTTTTTTTTTTCACCAGTGTTCTTGTTGGAAGAGTTCTGCTACATGACAGCATCAACAAAATGAAAGTAAAGACTACATATTATTATTCATGATGTGGAAAACGAATACTTCCTTCTGTATGTGAGCCTGTACATTTAGCCAGGGAGCCTTCTCTGGTAAAGGTGAACCTTCGAGAGGTGTCCAGGATGCCTGATGCCAGACCCTGGAATTCTTGCTCCAGTGCCGCTGCTAACATGACTTGATGTGTTATCCTACAACCAGAGAATGGGCACTAGTGTATTTGGGTGGTATAAAGGGGGAGCTTGTAGGACAACTTAAGAAGTTCTTTGGCTTTACAGGGGAGGAGTTCTGCTTCAGTGCAGCTTAGTTTCCCCTTCTAGGCAGCAGAACCTCCTTTTTAAAGCTTGAAGCTTCACCATTAGGAAAAGCAGCCACGGGTTGTGTTGTAGTTCTGGGAGATGGGAAATAATATCTGTGTGCCAGGTAATAGCTTAGATTTCATAGACATAGGGCTGGAAGGGACCTCGGAAGATCTTCGAATCCAGACCCCTGCCGCAGGGGCAAGAAGTCAGCTGGTGTCATAGGATCCCAGCAACATAAAGATCCAAATGTCTCTTGAAGGCATTCAAAGTAGGTGCTTGAACCACCTCCGGCAGCAGTCTATTCCAAACCTTGGGGGCTTGGACAATAAAGTTCTTCCTTGTCCAACCTGAAATGGTCATGGAGGAGTTTGACTGTTGGACCTTGTCATCCCTTGGGGCACTCTGGTGAGCAGATGTTCCCTCAGATCCTGGTGAACATCCCAGATAAACTTATAGGTGGCCACCAGATCACCCCTGAGCCTGCGCTTTTCCAGGCTGAAGAGTCCCATGGCTCTCAGCCTCTCATCATAAGATATGTTTTCCTGACCTCTGATCATGTGCATGGCTCTCCTCTGGACTCTCAAGCTTCTCCACATCCTTTTTGAATTGTGGAGCCCAAAACTGGACACAGTACTCCAGCTGCAGCCTCACCAAGGCCGAGTACAACGGGAGAATAAAATCCTGGGATTTGCTCGAAAAGCATCTATGAATGCAAGCCAGTGTTTTGCTCCCTTTACTAGCTGCAGCATCACATTGAGGGCTCAAGTTCATCTTGCAGTCAATCATGACTCCCCCCAAGTCCCTTTCATCCATAGTGCTAGCCAGCGTAGCACTGCCGAGCCTATAAGGATGCTGCAGGTTTTTCTTCTCAAGGTGGAGAACCTTGCATTTTTCGGTGTTAAACACCATCAGGTTCTCATCTGCCCATTTCCTGATCCTGTCAAGGTCAGCCTGGATCGCCCTCCTCTCCTCAGGTGTGAATGCTTTACCCCAAAGTTTGGTGTTGTCTGCGAACTTGGCCAGTCCACTTCTGACGCCAGTGGCCACATCATTAATGAAGATGTTGAATAATATAGGCCCAAGGACAGAGCCTTGAGGGACCCCACTGGTCACAGTGCACCACGATGATTGACTTCCATCAACCACCACCTTCTGGGTCTGACCACGGAGCCAGTTGCCCAGCCAGTGGACCGCAGTGAAGCCGAGGCTGCAGTTGGCCAGTTTTGCTAAAAGGTGATCATCGGATACCAGATTGAAGGCTTTTTTAAAGTCAAGATATATGACATCAGTCTCTTCCCCCTTGTCCAGGTGATAGGTCACCTGGTCGTAAAAGGAAATAAGATTGATCAAGCAAGACCTACCCACGACAAACCCGTGCCACCTGTCCCTCAGGAATTTGCCATTGACCAGTCTGTTGAGAATGGTCTCTTTTCTAGGATCTTGCCTGGGATAGAGGTCAGGCTGATGGGCCTGTAGTTTGGTGGATCCACTTTCCTGCCTTTCTTGAAGACAGGCACCACGTTGGCCTTCTTGCAATCATTGGGCACTTCACCAGAGCACCAAGAGTTCTCAAAGATCTGTGGCAGGGGCTGGGCTAGGATGCTTGCCAACTCCTTGAGTACCCTGGGTGTAAACTGTCAGGGCTGGCTGACTTGAGGGAATCCAGCCTCTGAAGGTGATCCTTCACGAGGTCAACATTGATGGAGGGTAAGGAATCTCCCTCACCCAGGCCTTCCCATCCCGTAATGGGCAGGGGCATCCCATGGGATTGGTGAAAGACTGACGCAAAGTACCCATTTAGCAAGTTGGCTTTTTCCTGGGCGTCGGTTGTCAACTGTCCCATCTGGTTTAACAGGGGTTCAGTGTTGCCCATGTTTTTCCTCTGGCTTCCCACTTATCTAAAAAAGGACTTTTTGTTGTCCTTGATATTTGTAGCTAGCTGGAGTTCCATTGCAGCCTTGGCTTTTCTGGTTCACTCTCTGCAGGTCCAGACCAGTGCAGAATATTCCTCCTTGGAGGTGGATCCCAGCCCTTCCATCCTTCGTAGGTCTGCCTTCAGATGCAGGAGGTCTTCTAGTTCCCTGCAGAGCCAAGGGAGCCACGGTGCCTTTTTGCTGCCTTTCCTCCGAAATGGGATAGATTTTGCTTGAGCATTGAGGATCGCTCCCTTGAGGAGCAACTACTGTTCCTGAACTCCCCTCCCCTTTGGGTCGTGGTCCCTTAGGGCCTCACTGACAAGCTTCCTGAGCTTGTCAAAGTCAGCTTTCCTGAAGTCAAGGACTTCTGTATTGTTGACTAATTTGCCAGCTTTACGGCAGATTGTGAAGGTGATCAGCTCATGGTCACTGTCACCTAGCTTCCCTTCAATCGTTAGGTCGCTGATAAGGTTGTCGCCCATTGCCAGTACCAGGTCAAGCAGTGCTTTGCCGCTCATCGGCCTGTAGACTTTTTATGTCAGATAGCACTCATCCATGCACATAAGAAAGCTTTGCAACCGTTCGGATTTGGCTGAACACTCTTCCCACGAGATGTCTACATAGTTGAAGTCTTCCATGGATCAGGAGCGTACGGCCTTGGCCAATTCCCTGGCGAACTTCTGGTCCAGCTCTTGATCCTGGGTTGGAGGTCTGTAGTAGACTCCCACTATTGTGTCCCCTGTGCTGTGTTCCCCATGGGTTTTAACCCAAACCGTCTCCAGTCATCCACCCTGGGCGCCAGCGTCGGCTTGCAGGGATGCGTAGCTTTCCTTGACAGAGAGCTACACCCCCGCCCCTTTTGTCCGCGCGATCTCTCTTGTACAAGGTATAGCTGTCTATACCTGTGGCTTGGCTGAGTCTAAATGTCAGTGCTGTATATTGAGAGTCTGTATCAATATTTTCACTGATCTCATGGCACGTACTGTTGGACAGACTACCCTGTTGCAAATTTGGTTTTAAATTGTCCTGAAATAAGAAGCTGCCTCCATCCTGCCTAGCCTTGTCACAGTAAAACTAGATAGAAAACTGGATATCAAAAGGTTGGGAACAATAATGGAATAGATAAATTGGGTAAAGTCACCAAGGAACAAACAATATAATTTTAATATTTGAGGGATGGTAAAATATGGTGGATGCTTGAAATAGTTGGAGGTGGTTATTGCTGCTATTTTAAATTTCCTAGAAAGTGACTGAAGAACAGAAGATTTATTTTCTATAGCCAGTTCTCTTCTGAAATATGTGACTCTCCCATGTAAAGTATTCATGAACTCTGTCTAGCTACCTGAAAGAAAGAAGAGCTAAGTCAAGCTTGCCAGGATTTTCTGTCTTTCTGTTTCAGACTACTGAAACATTAAAAGTCTGTCCTCTGGCTGTAACAGAACGATGCTATGACTAACATCTAGCCGCTGACACGGCACTTTTCTTTAGCAGATCTCAAGGTGCTAATAAAAAAGTGCTGAATTGTCTCTGAGCATGGGGACACAGGTAGTCAACCATGGGATAAAATGGGGCACAGATTTACCACATGTTGGCTGTTCAATAGTTACTGCCGCTAGGTACGTTCTTACCATTTGGTAAGTAAAAGCTAACCCAAGGTAGCTTACCTCACTTCCACTGAATGCATACCATTACTGCCTGATTATAGAATTAACCTCTTTTATTACTGGTTGTTAACCCTTTGACTTTTTCAGTGTTTATTTTCAATGTACTTGATTTAGATATGTAGTTTGATGCATAAGAGAGCCACTTGCTGCTGCCTTTAAAAAATATGCTTTTATCAGCTTGTTGTTGTCTCTCTTCAGGGATGATTCTGGCCCAGAAGACAATATTTGGAAAGGCATCCTCTCTGTGGTTTTCTTCTTCCTAATCATCAGTGTTCTAGCTTTTCCAAATGGTAAGTTAATTTATTCTCTACCTTTCTTTTGTCTGCACGTTTTCTTTTATTATGGTCATGTTTCTTCTGAGTTGGAAAGCGTGGCTTAATCTTTCATCGCTGTCTTACATTACTGCAAGTTAAGTAACTGCATGCATAATCAGCTCTTAATGGCTGAACTGAAATATTAACAAAATTCAGAGTATTTCTGGCTTACACGTTTCTGAAATAGAGAGCCCTGTCACTTTAAAATAGAAATAGCCTCCTTTTTTTCAACTGCAGAGCAGGAGATTAGTTTGCCAAATTATACTGAAGTCGGGTTGAAGACTCTCATATAGTGATCTACATCAGTAAGTGTCAAAGTGCTTAACAAAGGAAGTCAGTCAGTCATTCCATTTTACTAATAAAAAAGCTGAAGCAAACAGAGACCGGTGAAATAACTCTATGGTCTCATTGTAGGCTAAGGGAATAGGATCCATTGTAAATCTCCCAGTGGATGGAAAACGTTAGAAATGCATTATTTGAATCTCTGTGCGATAAGAGAATGAAATCTAACAGGATATTTTAATAATTTACTGGGGTGTAAAGTAAATCAAAATAATTGTTCAGTATTTCTATGCCCTACTTCGCTTGTGTATTGCAAAGGGTAAAGCTCTGATGAACCTGGACACTGTTGAGTTAAATGCATTATAGTCTTTGCTAGCTTCCTGTTGTCATGTTGTATGTTTTGTATGTTATAGGTCAGTTTTGCCACTCCAAGTTCTGGTATTACTAGGTTGCCAATACTAAGCATTAGTATTCACCAACTGCTTATCAGGACTGAATTCTAGTTCTAAAAAGGCTGTCTCCTGTTTAAACTTCATTAACTAACCTTTTTCACAGCCTGGTCATAGAAATGATGAATTCGAGAGATGAGGGAAAGTACAGGGAGTTTGAAGATTTTCTTTCTGCTGGAGTACCTCTAACTTTCATATTTCTAACAGTTTCCTAATCCTCTCTTTCTAACAGTAGGGTCTTATTTGTGTATTCCGTATGTGCTGAGAAATCCAATTTTTTATTTTAATTTTTACATTCATTGCATGAAGCTCTTTTGCACATAGCATACCTCTGTGTTTACGTGCTGATTTCCTATATAAATTTGCACATTTCACAAGAGTTTTACTGTATTTATTTGAATACCACATGTTCCCTGTTAGGACACGCACTTCATCTGGGGAAGGCAAAATGAAGACAAGACTTTTCCTTTTAACCAAACTGTTAAGAATCAGTCCCCTCATTTCAGAGAGACACCCAAATTTTCAACTGTTAACTTTAGGGGGAAAAAGGTGCGTGTGAAAGGTGAATAAATAGGGTACAATGGCATGAGATGCTTAATGAAAATACCCTAAATACACTAAGTCAAGTGTTTGGAGGAAGCTGTACTCATGCTACACACAGCATAAAAAGTAAAATTTAGGGTATCGGAGAGAGCTTGTTAAAACATCTGATCAGCTCTGTCTTCAGTCCTCATAGGCTACAAAACTATCTGAAGAGCTACAGGCCATAATTTAACAGAAGTTATCATTTTAAACCTTCCACCTGTAATTTTCCCACTAATACACCTTTTAAAGTATTTTAAGCTTGTTTAGTTAACAGAAACAGAAGGCTCATAGGAAGGTGGGAATTAAATATCTGTTACACTAAAGTCCATCTAAAAATGGAGATTCCGGGCCCATAATGCATTGGAACAGATTTTTTTCAGAAGTCTCCAGGAGCAGATTTTTAACTCCATAGAAATGCAGGAAGTGTTTGTATAAACATTAACTGCAGGTTAACTTTTCCCCAAGTTAACATCAGCTGCAACCACAGGTTCCATAAAAGCACTGTCAAAAACTGGCTTCAGTTGTTCCCTGTGGAGGAGCATTTCAAATGGGTTCTGCAGGGGTCTGTCATGATCTGGTTCTATTCAACATTTCCATTAACAGCTTGGAGAACAGAATAAAGAGTGCACTTAAAGGAATTTGTGGATGACAGGATGACGCCAAGCTTTTTGGAGGACAGCATAAGGAATTCAGAATGTAGGGGTGCACGGATAGAGATTTTTTTGGCCAATACCTATGACTTGTTAAAAATCGGCCATATTGGCCAGTTCCAATCTGATTGTTGATATGCAGCCCCGCAGCATGGAGAGCAGTGTCCAGCTGGTAAGTTTGTTGTGGGGGAAGGGAGGGGTGGAAGAAAGGGGCATTGGCAGGTGCAGGGGGAGGGGGCAGATCAAGGCCCCTGTGGTGAGGGAGGGTGTGGGGCTGGGGCAGGGGCAGGCACTGACTAGCCGGGGCCCAGCCCCACTCCCACTCTCTCCCTCACCACGGGGGCCTCGATCTGCCCCCCCACATCCCTTCCCTCACCCCTTCCCACAACAGACTTACCGGCCAGACCCAGCTGCACTGCTGGCTGCCTGCGTGCTGTGCTGCAGCTGCATGCATGCATGCAACATTTATTGGCCACATTATTGGCCATGTCAGACAAAAAAGGCTGATTGCCAACACTCTCAATTTTCCTCATGTCGGTGCCGATCTGATATGGGACCAGTGTTATTGGTGCACCTCTGTCTGAATGATATTCATTAATTGGAGGGGTGATCTGAAATAGGTAATGTGAAATTCAGTAAAGACAAAGTGCAGCATGCAGCACTTGGAAAGGAGAAATCAGGTGGACAAACACAAAATCAGCAAAGGATCTTGGAGTTATAGCATACCAAAAATTGAATCATAGTCAACAGTGTAATACTGTTTAAAAAAAAGGCAGTTCTTATTCTGAAATGTATTTAAAGGAGTGTTCTATATAGGACATGTGAAGCAGTTATTCCAAGCCAGGGTCTAGGAAAAACATCCACTTGGAATCCCAGTGCCCTTCTTTCCCATCAGTTGGGAAATGGCTGAAAGTGTAATTATCCCTGTGACCATCCACCCCCACCACCACCCACACACAAACCAGCACTTCTCCCATGATATCAGATATCCTGTGTGGTGTCTGGTATCTGACTGGTTAGAAATTCAAGCTCACTTTAGTAAGATATGGAGTTAGAGAGAGCTGGGACCCTTTCTTTCTTTCTTTGCTAACCTGCAGAAATGGGAAGGTTAGCTCTTTTTCTCTCTCTCTCTCTCTCTCTCTCTTTCTCTCTCTCTCTCTTTCTCTGTCTCGCCCCCTTCCCAAAAAAGGTTCAATACAACATAAGAGTAAAAGACAATTTAAACAGTATTAAATAAGATGGTCGAGCACCCTCC